TTCTCTTGTGCGTCCGCTCTCATTCATGCCTCTTCACTTCTCGCTGTCGATGTCGCTGCATCAGATCGTCGAGGGGTTGTGGGGCAAGGAGAAGCGCGAAGAGGGAGCCAAGGTCGAGTACCTCGTCCGCGGATGGCAGGACGAGGACCTGTACCCGAACACGAGCTGCAAGTGCGTCCGGATGGCTCTCCCGACGACTTACGAGACCCTATCCGCTCGAGGCCGACGAGCTGACCTTCTTCCGCTCGTTCGTATTGCATCGCTACAGGCGCCTTCGCGCGCTCGACTCTGCCTCGATCGCCGCCACGACAAAAGAACAGGCGCCCATCCTCGCCGCGCTCGACTCGGTACTCGAGCCAGTCGTCGGGGCGTGCGTTCCGAGCCTTTCCCTTGTCTCCGCCTTCCTCTCTGACGTAGACGTCCTCGCAGTCCCCTTCGAATCGACTCGTCACCTCGCGCAAGCGGCGTACTCGACACCGTCCTCGTCTGCCGCGCGCACGGAATCAAGCTGCCGAAGGAGCTCGAGGATCCGAAGACTTTGCGGTTACTCGAGGGCGCGATCTGTCACGAGTGGTGCGTTCAGTCGCTCATCTAGCTGGCTCTCGTAGCGAGCTGATACTTCAATCGCCATTGCAGGTTCGACGGGTACAAGAACCTCGAGTTCCGCAAGCTCGCGATGGGCCGGCTCCTCTCCTCGCTCCGGCAGACGCTCGAGGCCAAGGCGAACGACCCGCTCGAGAAGGTTGAGAAGACGCGGCTGGCGGTCTACTCGTGTCACGACACGTCGATTGCAGGCATTCTGAATGCGCTCGATGCGTTCGACAGCCGGTGGCCGCCCTTCACTTCGCATGTTGCTGTCGGTGCGTCCGAGGACAGCCTCTGTCGCCTCTCGCAAACTGATCGATCACGCTCGCAGAACTCTTCCGCTCCGCCTCGCCGCCTTCGATCCTCTCCGCCTTCCTCCCGTCCGTCCTCCGCCCCTCTCAGCCGCATTACGTCCGCCTCCGCTTCAACGCCCGCAACCTCCGACTACCCGCCTGCGCCCCCGAGGGCAAGCATCTCCCGGGCTCGAACGGCGAGGTCTGCACGTTCGAGGCGTTCAAGGATGCGGTCAGG